AGAGAGAGAGAGAGAGAGAGAGAGAGAGAGAGAGAGAGAGAGAGAGAGCGAGCTAGAGAGTGTGCGATAGACGCAGCGAAATTCGGCCTCACAAAAACTAATTCAAGCACCAGTCACCCCCTGCTGATCCCACTCCGTGTCTTTAATATATCGGCTAACAGTGTGACTGTCAGCAGCCAAAATTCCTCATCATACTATTCTTGTGTAACATTTTCAGGCATCTCCAACTACGACGGCGAAAACGCCATTTCCCTCAGGCGCAGTCTGGTACGAGCCATCCACACCCTCCTGCCCTCCAAAGTGAATGCGAAGGCGCCCCAGCCTGATTTCGAGTCGGCCAAGCGTTTGGCGGCCACCACAGAGGTGCTCAATAGTTATGCTGATCTACAATTGGACAGCAAGCTGGATACGGAGTGCTCCAAGCTAATCAACTTTTTGACGTTAAAAGCGGGCGAACCCGTTACTCTCAAGTATGTCGTTGAGGTGAAGTTTCGGTATTTTTTTCTGCATGCTCGATGACCAGGACAGTGAAGGAGGGCTGCATGAAGGACCTGGTGTAGGCGTTGGTGCCCTCAAGAGTCAGCTGAGACAGGGCGTTCCCCAAGCTGATTAGGCCTTCTGTCGTCTGCATTCCAACGTTTTAATTGGTTAAATGGACCTTAGTATGGAAAAAAACGTCTTTTATAAAACCGAGTAGAAGGCTTATGCTTACACATCGTCCAATATTTATTAATCGATTGAGAAGCTAAACGTAGTATTATTTCATGATGAAGTGGTCGAAGAGCTGAGCTGTGGCTTAGATAGACAGATAGATGCTTATTCAACAAACCACATTGTCAATCTCACCCTTTTTCTTCCCTTAGAAACACAACTGGTGAATCAATAGGCGTGCATATTCGTGGTTTGTACAGTACAGCCTACAATTTGTGCAACATGTCGACATATGCGAATTATTGATACTCTATCCCTAACCGGGGGTTGAGTAAGGTTGTAATACTGATTATCATGAGGTCATTTCAGTCACGATACGATTCCGGCTTGTTAACGAGCTTATAAACTGTAAAAAGTGGCTGCTTAAATAGTATGCCTTTTTGTCAGTGATTTTGACTGCCTTGATAAATTCAAATATATCTTAGGGTAAACATAAACGAAAAAACTAATTTCTTGTGCTCATTTCGTAGGAAATTATGCCTTCTTTAGATTGTATACTTAAAGAAATGGTATCTTTCGGTTTAAAAAAGTTTCTAAATCGCCGAATAATTTTAACCTTACCGACTGCTACACTGGAATTCAAGGTTTACAGGCTGCGCGCTGTGTACATCCTGTTAAAGGAAAAGTACTTTTTCGCCTACCGTGTAAGGAAGAAGTCACACAGTTCTCATGAAACATCGTAACAGATGTAGAACATGCTGTCTTAAATGACCAATGGGATTGGATGCTAGTGCACAAGGCAAATACTGAAACGAAGTAAAACAAGAGTAAAAGATTTTAAGAAGCCCATGTCTGTACAACGTCGGCTATACGTCTCTTCTCACTAGCAAAGTTCACAGATATCACACTGTAGCAACTGGTGACCGATACACGACTAACGTAGGCGTTTACTTCTTATGTTATGCAACTAGATCTGAAGGCTAAACATAATAAAATAATTCTAAGTAAAAAAACGACT